TTTTTAAATAAAAATAAAGAATTCTTAACTTAATATCTTAATATTATATAGCTTTATAATTAATATTTATTAATTATAAGGTTAAAAGGTTAGGAATTTATAAAGAAATATAAAGAAAATCTTTAAAAACTTAATAATGCCGCTATTAAGATTTAAGAAAAAATTAAAAAGCAAGGCTTTAATAAAAATATTATTATTACTTATTTTAATTAACTTAATAAAGCTATTATAAAAAAAGTAAAATATATTAAGTTTAATAATAATTTTAAATAATACTTTTTATTATTATACCTTATACTTTATTTAATTTATAAAATAATAATATTTTTTAAATATATATTATTTTTATAATAATAAATAATTTTATAAATAAAGTTTAAAAATATTTAGTTAAGGTTTTAAAATAAAATTATTAACTATATTATTATACTTTTATATATATAATATTAATAGTATAATTTCTTAAAATTACCTTAAATAATTATATAAATTTTATATTTTTTTATTATAAATTTTATGTTATTAATTAAATTTATACTTAAAAATAGCTTAAATTATTATATTATACTTCTTTATATTAAAAATTTTAATAAGCAAGCTATATTATAAAATAAGGTAAATATTAAAAAAGCTTAATAAGCTATAAATATTTTTTATATTATTAAAAATACCTTTAATATAATTATATTTATATTTATATAAAAAGCATTTAAAAATAGCTATTACTTAAATATTATAATTTATTAATAATATAAGGTTAAATATATCTTTATAATAATTATAAAACCTAAGGGTTATAATAAAATATTAAGCTTAAAATTTATTTTTAATAAGGTTAGCAAAAAGTATTAAGTTATAAAAATTAAATAATTTATTAAAAATCTTTAAAAGTTACTTTTTAGCTTATATATTAATATTAATATTTATCTTAAAAATATATAATTATTAAATATTATAATTATTATTTATAAAAATTAATTACTTAATATATATAAGTTAATAATTAAAATAATAAAATTATTAAAGGTATATTTTAAGTATATCCTTATAATATATTAATAAAAGCAATATAAGGATTAAAATACCTTGCTTTTTATTAATATCTTTAAATTTATATATAAGTATTATATATTTTTCCTTAAAGCTATATTAAGATTAATTTATAATAATAATTATTTAAATATTTAAAGATTTATTCTTAAAATTAAAAGTAAAACCTTTTAACCTTATATATTGCTTAATAAGTATAAAATAAATATTATAAAAAATATAATATATAATCTTAAAAAAAATCTTATATTTCTCTTATTTAATATTAATATTATTTTTTATTTAAAGCTAAAACTTAATTATGCTTAAATAAAAAAATATTTTAATTAATATTAAAAAGGTTTAATGCTTAATAATAATGGAAAATTACTTTTAATGCTAAAAATATATAAAGTAAATTTAATTAATAATAAATATAATATAAAAGCATTATTAATAATAATAATTAATAAATTTTCCTTAAAAGCTAATATAAATTTTAAGAAATTTATAATTAAAGCTATTAATTAAAAGCATAAAGGTTTATAAAAACTTTTAAACCTTTATTTTAAATAATTACTTAAATTATATTCTTATACTTAATACTTATTTATAAACTTTTAAGCTTTTAAGTTAGCTTTTTTATAAATTAATTTATTATTATTTTATTAATTATTGCAAATTTATTATAATTAAATTTTATAATATATAATAAATATTTATATTTTTAAGCAATTTTAAAGAAAATGTTTACTTATTATTAAGAAAAATAAGTTTTTAATAATTATTATTTAATTTATTTATATAAGTTAATAATTAAATTATTATATTTTTTATACCCTTAAGTTAAGATTTATTTTATTAAATTCTTTACTTTTTAATATATACTTATTTATTTAATTTTTAATTTACTTTTATAGCATTGCTTTTTTAAATATAATTTAATTATTTTTTTTCTTTATAATTATAATTTCCTTTTCTTAAAATTAATACTTTTAATTATTATAATTTTTTTTAAATACTTTATTTATATTATTTATTTCTTTATAATTAAATTATATTTAATTATAAATAATACTTTATAAATATTATTGCTTATTAAGATTGCTTTTATAATAATAAAAGTAAATAAAATTAATAATAAACTTTAAGTTATTAAAATAAAGAACTTAAATGGCATTATTTATATTATATACTTAAATTACCTTATTATAATTATTAATATGCTTATTAATAATGTTATTTAATATATATACTTTATTAAAATATTATTAGCTAATTTTTAAGTAGTAATAATTAAACTTAATAATATAATAACTTTATATAAATAACTTTTTAAGTTATTAAATATTTTTATAATAATAATAAGTAAATATTATATATAATATATAGGAGTTATAAGTTTATTTATAATAAATTCCAAAGCTTAAGTCCTTTTTTATTAAAGTATATAATTATAAGTAATGTATTATAGCTATTTTAATAGCTAACTTAATTAAAAGCTAATTTAAATAAAAAAAAAAGTAATAATAAATAAAGCATTTTATTTCTTTCTTATTAAAAATTATAAAGAACCTTAATATTATAATTAATATATTTATAATTAATATTTTTAAAATTACTTATATAATAATTAATAAGGTATATTTTATAATTATTTTTAAGTTTTTTTATAATTTAATTATTAAATATAATACTTAAATATTATTAAAGTTATTATAATTACTTTTATTTTATAAGATATAATATTTAAGTTTAAAGTTTTTATATAATTATTAAGCTTTAATTATAAAAAGGAAAGATAAATTTCTTAAGATAAAACTTAAGTATAATGCTAAAAAGTAATAATTTTTATATATTATATTAATAAGTATTTTAATCTTAATATATTAGCTAAGATAATATTTTAATTATAATTATTAATTATATATAATTAAATTTTAATTTTAATTAACTTATTATTTATTAATTATATTATTTTAAATTAATATTTACTTAATATATTATTTTAAAATATTAAAATTAAATTAAGCTAATATTACCTTATTTCTTTAATTTATTAAGGATTAATTATTATATATTATTATTTATATTATATGCCTTGCTTAATAATATTAATTAATATTAGCGTTAAGTTATTATAAATTAATGCTTTGCTTTTCTTTATAATAATTAACTTATATTAATATTTTATTAAGTAAACTTAAAATAATAAGCTTTTTAATTAAGATTAATTATAAACTTTTAATCTTTATATTATTTATTAAATGCCTTAATATTTTAAAGTTATAATATTTAATTAAGTTAATTATTATATTAATTATAAGATAAAGAATAAAGTAAGGAAATTAATAAGTAATTAATTTTTTATAATAGCTATAATATTAAATATATATATATTATTATAAACTTTCTTTTAGGAATTTTTATTATATTTTAATATTTTTAATTATAAAAAAATTATAATTAAATAAGTAACTTATAATTAATAAGTTTATAAATATAAGTCTTTATATTATAATCTTATAAAAAGGTAAAGAAATTTATATAATTTATTATAAATTGCTATTTTTTTTACTTAAGGTATTAATAATAATAATTTATAATAAATTATTAATTATTTTCCTTATTATATATTAATTTATTAATTATATATAAAATATTCTTATATGCTTAGCATAAATATAAAATTAAATAAAGATTAACTTAAAAGTTATTTTTAAGCTTATTAATTATTATTAATAAGTTATATTTTATTATTTAATTATATTTAAAACCTATATTTTTAAATTATATTATATTTATAATTTCTCTTAATCTTAATCTTTTACCTTTATAAATATTAATAAATTATTAAAATAAGGTTTAATATTATAATTATAAGTTTATTAAAGATTAAAAAAAGCTATAAAGGTAATATTAATATAATTTTTATTAAAATAAATAATATTTAAAAACCTTTAATTAAATAAATATACTTAATGCCTATTTTTAAGATTTTTAAAGGCATAATCTTTTATAAGAAATTATTATATTAATTAAAGGCATTAATTATATTAATAATATTATTATTAACTTTATTATAAAAGCAAATTATAAAATTAACTTTTATTATAGCAAAGAATAACTATTTTATTAATATAAGTTATTAATCTTTAAGTAATAATTTTAACTTTTATATAATAACTTTAATTCTTAAAATATTAACTTTACTTAATAAAAGACTTAATTTTATATTACTTAAAGCATTAACGCTTTATAAATATATAATACTTAATAATATACTTATATTTTAATTAAAATATAAAGTACTTATATAATTTCTTAAATTAAAAGCTAAAATATTAATATATAAAGCAAGTTTATATAATAATGGTTTTAATAAGCATAATAGCTTAATCTTAATTTATAAAATATATTAAATTATATAGTTATTAATTAATATAATAAGTTAAGTTAATTAATATTATAATGTACCTTAATAAAATAATGCTTTATTATCTTTATTATACTTTACTTTATAATTTAAGTTATTATTAATATAAAGTATAAGTATTCTTTAAAAGTTATTAATAATGAAAATATTATTAGCATTATAAAAGTATATAGCATATTAAAAACTTTAATTCTTAATTTTTAATAATGAAAGGTATATAAAATGCTTATAAAAATAATAATTATTTATTACTTCCTTTTTAAATATCTTTTTATTTATTATAATAATATAAAGCTAAGTTTTATTGCAAGTAAATTATATTAACGCCATTATATAATGTAATAATATAATTACCTTATTACTAGCTTCCCAACATTATAAATAGCAATATAATTATAAAATATAAAATTAAAAGAATGGCCCTTATAAGCTTTAATAAAGCTATCCACACAATATTTGCTATCGTGCGAGTTCGGAGCATAGTAGAGGGCTTAACGTAAACCTTGTAGTGAAGCAAAGTGTATATGTTGTGCTTCTAGGCCTCGATTTTCTCAAACCAAATCAAATCCTCCATGTCGTCCTCAAAATCAACACCAACAGCTATAACCTTACCCTCCTCATCCACCTTCACCTCGGCCTTCTTCTTGAAGTCATAGTTGTCCCACACGTCGTGCATATCAGCCACGAACCTTCTCCCCGAAAGGTGCTCAAAGGTAATCACAAACGGAAAGCATCGGTCAGAGCAGTCCGCGACCACCTTCCCCTCCCTCATCTCCAACCGAATTTCCTTGTACCCTTTGTTGAAGTACCTCCCCACCAGCCCTTCGACCGCCACCCCCAACGGCTCCGGATCCTCGGGCACCTTGTACTCAGGCTTCTCCTTCTCCTTCTTGACTGATTCCAAATATTTAGCCCTCCTATCCCTAAACACCTTCTCCCAATCTACTCGTTCCTCATCCCTCACCCCCAACACCTCATCCATAAGCCAATGCTCCAAAATCCCCTTCACATACGCCCCCGAATTCGAATTCGTACAAATGACCACCCCCCACTCCTTCGCCGGCAAGAACGCCATGGCCGCCTTAAACCCCGGCACCGCCCCGTCATGCGTGATGAGCGTCCTCCCGCGATACGTATCCCGATACAGCCCCAGGGCGTACAGCGACACATCCGAATAACCCGGCAGCGCCTCGTCGTTCACCTCGATACTCCGCGGCTCAACGAGCGCCTTGTGCGACTCGGCAGACAGCGGCGCCGCCCGCTTGATCAGGGAGCGCACGAACTTTGCATAGTCGCCCGCGGAGGTGAGGACGCACCCCGCGCCGCGGCCCTCCGGGGACGCGACGATGGGGACGGGGACGTAAGCGTTGGTGCCCTCGTCCCACCGGTAGCCCTGGGCCTCGTGCGCCGAGGGCGGCACGTCGGGCCGGTCCTGGAAGGTGTTGTTCATGGCCAGGGGCTCCCAGATGCGGGAGTGCAGGAACGACGTGTAGTCCTCCTTGGACAGGGACTCGACGAGGTGGGTGGCGACGCTGAACATGATGTTGGAGTACTGCATCTTTGTGCGCAGGGCTGCGGTGAAGGGGAGGTTGCGCAGGTTGCGGGTCAGGGAGCGGGCGTCGTCCGGGTGGGCGGCTGTCACGCCCAGGTAGGACTCGTCGTGCGTCGGAATTCCAGAGCGGTGGCTGAGGATGTCCTCGAGGGTCACCTGGTCGGTGAGGGACTGGGTGGGTAAGACGAAGTCCGAGGGGATGAGCTTGGAGACTGGGGTCTGCCATTGCATGTCTGGGTAGTTGGTGTCTTCGACGAGGAGGGCGGCCGCGGCTGCTGTGGTGCACTTGGAAACGCTCGCCAAGTCGAAGATGGTTTCTGTGGTGCATTTCTCACTAGGAAGTTTGGCGTAGCCATAGGCCTGGGCATTGGTCAGTGTCTCTTTCTGTAGGCCGATTGATACATGGCGTTTACCTTTGCGTCGATATGGTCGCCTTGGACAACTGCAATGGAAAGGCCCGGTACATGCCACTCCTCCATGAGTCTCTCCACCATTTGATCAAATTCAGCTGTCTTGTGCGCCATGTTGAAGATAGAGGCTGGTTGTCCGAGTCCTTCAATCTACTCCTAAACTTTCAGGACAGCGCTCGTTTATCTACGAGGTTGATGTGCGCCAAGCACAAAAAGAAATGCGCAGCCGTATGTGGTGTGATTACTCGTCTTAGTCAGACCAAAAGGCCTTAGTCCAAGTACCTCCAGCTTAACCAGATCTAGCACGCCGGAGAACGAAGTGCATAGCTAAACCCCGCGCCTGCGTTCAGAAACTGGAGCTGATACATTGGTACTAGACTGTATCGGTCCGAAGCACATAAGACGAGCTGAACTGTTTATGCAGACCTTCGGCGGTGACTCAACTTTGAACGACTAATTAACCATATGCTCCAGTGAGCCCTGCTTTTAGAGGTGGGGAGGAGGGGGGCGTAATTGTTTATTGATGAAATCAGATGGCGTTAAAAGGTTTTATAAAAGTACTTTGAAGAACAAAGGATTAAAAAAAGGAGGAAATATCATGTAAATATGTCAATTTAGAAAAGAACTTAGCTCATGAGAGTTAATAACTTAATATAGTAAGTAAATGTTCTGGCTCGGGACGCCCTCGCCGGCACACATCACTTGTTTTGGGAACATGTAGAGTGATCCCCTCAGTTCTGGTTTGAGGCACTGATTCGGGATGCGGCTTACCCCCAAGGATCTCGTTGCCGGCGCGGCATGATTTTGCTTCTGTATAAGCTATACACAGAGCTATACTAATAAACCGAGATGTTGAATGTACTATTTTTAAGTTTCGCCATAATCTACAATTTCCAACGTCGTCATCCGCATCGTCGGCCTGGGCTGGACGTGGTTCCGCAAGACTTCCTGGACTTATACTCACTCGCTCATCGTCGTCTCGGGCGCGTTTGCAACGTCGGCGGTCTTCCCGGGCGACAAGCTCATCAACAGGTGAATCCAACTTCACAAGGCCTTTCTGGTGGCCATCATCCAGCTGCTCATCCCTGGCGACGATGCCCTCGATCAACTGTTCAAGACGGCCGGTGCATCCCTCACGAACATTGTCAACCTGCTGGCAACGTTGGCTCGTTTTCTCCTCCTCGTCTTTGCCATTGCCTTGACGCATCTCTTCAAACTCGCTCGATTCGGCTTGGCCAGCTCAGCGCTTGATGAAGGCGACAACACGGTCTACTGCGCCTCGACCACTAACTCATCCGCCGCCACCGCCCCTTCAGTAACGAGGAACCCGGCGCCGCCGCTCTCGTAGACGTCGTCATCGTCCGCCCAAGCCACCTGGGCCACGGTGTCAGCCGTCCCCGCGCGAGCAACAAGGCCCTTCAAGTTCCGCCCATCACACAGCACACGCACGTCGTACGGGGCGTCAACCGCCCAGTCCATCGATACGTATTCTAGAACCTTCCTCTTCTCATCTCGCACCTTAACTAGTGCCACCCTTCTTCCCTTCCCAGCCTCGCCCAGGAGAAACACCAGCCCGTACCACCTGCGCAGGCCCTGCACGCGCACAATCACACCACACGGCCCGCCCGCCAACACGCGAAAGCCGCGGACTTTGGCATCATAGCGGGCCCAATCACGCGTCCCGACACTCAACAACCCCTCGCCGCGATCCTGCGCCAGCCGGAAAGTCGGCCCTGTCCGGAAGTGGAAATTGTCCACGGACCGGACAAACATGCGCTGGAAGTAGGTCAGCGGCTCCTCGGTGTGCCGCGGCAGCTTGAGGGTCAGCTGCGGCCTGCCCTCCCAGGAGAGGCGGTCGAGCCTGGCTGTGCCGGCCCCGTTGGCGGCGCTGGGCGGGGTGTCGGCGTCCAGGATGGGTGTGAGGGCCACGCCCACAGCGAAAATGGGCCGGGTGCCGTCGAGCAGTCCGGAGGTAGGGATGGTGTACTCGAGCACGAGCGGCGATTCGGAGTCCTCGCCCATCCGCGCAGGGTTGAGATCCGTGGCAGGGCCTCTGAGAGTGAGCACGGTGTCGTCGTGGTTGTAGGCCTTGATGCTAATCTGGCAGGAGACAGGAAACCGGCACTCGTCCGCGTCGGCGCGGAGGACGGCCCTGACGGTCTGGCCCGGGTACAAGAGGGGCGTGGATGTGAGGGAGTACCTTTCGCCAGACGTTGGCAGATAGAGCGGGTGGAACGTGTCGGTCATGATGGCGATGGGGTCACTTGTTGGGGTGAGGCCGGTCAGCCTGATGGCCAGGCTGGTCCTGCCACGACAGTCGTGGCTTTGGGTGACAGTGGCAGCCTTTGCAGGGTGAGCGGTGAAGCCCTGGACGCTGCCTGGCAGAGTGAAGTGGTATTGTGCTCCGTTCTTCGGGAGGGTGAGCGGTTTGTGGCCTGCGAGTCTATGCCCGAGGTTCGCGGTGTCATAGGCGAGCCGGGCTGCATTGTTGATCGAGTAGCCTCCGTTGGCACTAGAGATTAACACTCGGTCGGCAAGGGGTCCTCGCCAGTCCGGTCCGCCCTCAAAGCATGGCAAGCCGTGCATGATGGCGACGAGACATGCTAAGTTGCCAGAGTTGCAGTCTGTATCCCAGCCGCATGTGTTGACAATGTGCATGGCCTCGTGGAAGTCGTTGCCTGCGTAGAGCAGAGCCATGATCATGATGGCGTGGTTGGGGATGACGTGGACGATGCCGTCAAACTGGTCGTACCCGTATTTGTCGTCAATACGCTGCCTCGTCGCCGGCCAGGCCTTGTCGAGTGTCACCCATTCGCGCACGTCTTGGATCAGCGTCTCAATCAGGGAGCCTTTTCGTTCCTTGCGGATGATTCTCAGCCCTGTGTCAATCAGATGGTCGACGTCCTTGGAGACGAACGCCTCTGATTCCATGGCGGCCCACATCATGGCAGCGAGGACGCTCTCGCCGTCATGGCTGACCAAGGCGGCTGCCTTGGCGAGCTTTGCCGCGAGCTCAGGCTGTCCCGGGCAAAGCATGGCCCAGCCATCGATAAAGATCTGGGCGCCAATCTGCTCGGCGACCGTCTTGCCGTTTGTCTCGATACTGCCGCTATCGGGTGCTTTGATGTCATTCTTCAGGTTGAGGAAGACGGTGTGCTCCGTGGATATGCCTCTGCCTCCCCACCAAAAGACGGTCTGCTTCTCGATGACGTTGTTGAGCCAGGTCTTGCCAATCTGCTCCGAGGTGATATCGTTGGAGATGCCGTGCTCTGCGAGGGCCCGGATGAAGGTGAAGGTGCCGGAGACGTCGTCGTCAGTGACGACGGGTGGTCGCTGGGCGAAGCCGGGGAACTGGGTGTGGACGTAGTGGCGGATGCTGCCCAGCTCCGCGACGATGCCAGAGTACGTCCAGCCCTCGAACGGCCGGCCGAGGTAGACGCCGATGAGCTTGCCGAGCACACCAGCGTACACGCGCTCCAGGTAGTCGGCGGGCATATTGGTGTGGATTAGCATCTTTAGAGACTGTCTTCAAGAGCAAGGGGACAATGAAGCCAAAGTAAACAATCTCGCCCTCAAACGTCGGGCAGTCCAAGTGTCCAGCACATGGTGAGATGTCATTTACCCCGCACTATGCTGCTGTGGCATGCAAGCCAGATATGGACCTGTTCGACTTGTTCTCCAGCGTCCCCAAACATATTAGCTACAAAATGTGAGAAACCTTGCCAGAATCTCCGAAGACAGTGCATGCAAACTAGATGTTGGAAGGTCACAGATTTGGGAGGATGGACTGACGTTGAAATCGACCAGGGGTCTGACGGCCCGGAAAGCTTATCTTCCTCCACATATGGGCTTGGGCCGTTCCGTCCCCGGCGCCAAACACGCGACACGGTGCGCTAACGGAAGTTGACCCACTGTAACCGTGGTGGAAACGGAAGCGTCCGGAGCTTGACCTCTTCCGAGATCAACACCGCCAGGTGCGGGCACTAGCTCGGAGAAACCAATTATTTTGGCACTTATTCCAGCTGGGTTGACGTTGAATGGCAGGTTCGATGAGTCAGTCAGTAGCCACACAATTATGACACACAGAATCACTCTTTCAACTGATCACAACTAATCAAACGGAATTGATCAACTTGGCTACGGCCTGCCAAACTTCCAGCCCTGAGGCGTAGGGGTTAGGCGCACACTGACCGCCTTCGACAATTCCTCGATCGTAGACAGACTGCAGTCGCCTTGTGCGCTCGGCTCGATACGTGCGTCCGAACTCTGCCCAATGAGGAAGAACGGCAGGATAGAAGACTTCCAAATGACGTCCTTGCGGGTGCTGATGAGGGTAATCACAAACAGCACCAGCGATGCACACACCAGTGAAGCGTGGATGACGATCCACGGCCACAGAATAACGATGTAGACCTCTGAGCTCTGCACTTCGCCCGTGGCAACTCTGCCATTGCAGATGTCACCCGAGCTACGTGCGTTGGCGGAGAGAGTGACGGCCAAAGAATTCATAGTCTCCTCGATGTCCGCGGTCTGCCCGCTCCCGTACAGCGCCTGCAGAGTATCGGCGTTGCCCTCCCACGATACCGGGATGCCACCCACGTGAGTCCACGAGCCCTCGCCCGTCACATACTGCCCTATGCTGTAAGCCAGGGCAGCACCGTTGGCTGCTTCCACCTGCACGGCACAACCGTCGCCTTCTTCATAAGGAGGGTTCTTCACAACGCCGCCAGGCTGGTAGCAGGTTTCTGGCACGACGTAGACCTCCCGGCCGGGGACCCAATGTACATCCCCGCCGATGGGCCAGGAGTCTTCTGCCGTCTCGGAAAGCCTGTCTGAAGTGGCGATCGGCACAGATGTCAGCCGGCCTCCCTGGACTGACGTGTTGTACGCTGTGACACAGAATGACATGGAGCATTCGACGGCAGCAATGTGCGGGTTGGGGTCGTCTTGCATGTTACCGACTATGGCCGTGAGGTTCATGAATGGCGTTTTTGATGCAAATGAGGAGTGCATCAAGTTAACATCACTCCTCGCAGTGAGTACTTTTGGTAAGTCGTTGTCGGTCTCCATTCCAGATGGGAGGCTGTATTTGCAGAAGGCTCCCCGTATGCATTCTTCCGGGGGTGCGAGTGAACCGTTGATGTTTTGGAATACAGTATTTGGTTCAAATATAGAACTTCCATCGGTCTCGTTCGTACTCTCAGTCGTGGCGTCTGATGACCATACTTCGAGCATATCAGAGATGTCGGCGCATTGACTACATATCTCCAACGTCTAGTAAATGGGAAACGTGCAATTGCCCGAGTCGCAGGTGAAAGATGTGTCCTTCGCACTTGGCCTCTGAAAGATCGCTTCGAAAAGAGATCCTACGGCTGCTGAAGAAACCGTCATATTGGGATATATGCCTGAGGCATCATGGTACTGGCCACTCTCACAGACCGGAACCGATGCTGTGCCCATAGTTGATGACATTCGGTCCTGGAGTTGTACTAGCTCTTGGGCGGCTGGTCCCAATGCGAAGGAGAGCAGAAAGATAAGCGAGGCGAAAGTTGCAAGGTACCTATATGGTTTTCCAGCGTCAGAAGGCGGGTCCTTCGAGGATAAAACAGCGAGCAAAGTGGAGGAGACCTTCCTACCAAGAATGAAAAGAAATCATCAGGCGAAAGGCGCCCCATCCTCCCCGACTTGCTCCGTCAAAAATAGACATTTCACTCAGTGGCCTTGCCCGCTCCTGAAACTACTTCCATTTTAGCTGCGAAACCACTTCCGCTGTGATTATGACAATAGCCCCCTTCATGAACTCAACGACTAAAGACACGATGGTGGTCAAGTTGACGCTATATGGCCATGACGAGAGTGGGCGTTGGTCGTACACAGCTAGTACGGACACAAGAGCGGCAAGCATTCCTGTTGCGGCCACACAGCATAAGACCTCGAACACCCACAGCCGTAGAAAAGGCGTCGACTTAACCTTAGTGGACACTTTTGTAGGCCTTGGCTGTTTCGTCGACGAAGCTTGTACTCCACCAGGTCTTTGTACAGTTCTCGATGGCTGGTGGCCCTGATTTGAACACAGTGAGCTTCACACAGCGGTAAGAAACGCGAAGATGATTGCTTACATGAGATCTTTGTAAGAAGGCATCCCTCTCATGTGGCCCATGTGGGGTTCCGTTGGTGTCATTTCCAGGCATTCTGTCCATGAGTAAGCTCACAGGCTTGAGACACGTACTGAAAGAGTTTCAGCACTTCCGAAAGGGAGTTAGTTGAAGGGTTCATTTTTTTTAAAAGTGGAAATTCTTTTGGCACTTTTTGGCCCCTTAGCTTGTATCACACAGCTTTTGAGTGTGCTGAAAGCAACACCAACCAAGACACTTTGCCAAGAAACGTGTGCCTTGCTGCCTGCATAAGCTGAAATTTCCAAGGTCCTTCGTCGGCTTGTGGAACGTTACTAGGGCATACTCACCCGGAAGGATTTGGTCATACATGTTTCAGAAGATCGCAAGCTGTTCCGCCCTGTGCTGCTGGACTGGCATATTCTGACCCGGCAAAGCATATCTAGGTAGTTGACTTCCAAAGAATAGCCGCTAGGGCCGCAAACACGTTGATGGTGATGGTAACAGTCAGTATCAATCAGTTGCGTTCTGCGTCAAGCAGGTCTTCAAATTCTGGAGTGATACACTTGTGTATTTTAATATTTGAGTAGACACGCGAGAGCCTTAGAACACATGTTCACGGGGCCAAAGCTCGTCTCATACTGTTCAGACTCGGTCTTCCAACCTGTTCTGTTGAGTTACTTGGTACATAGCCTCCAGAAAGATATTAAAAAGATGAAGTGGCCCCCGTACCCACAAGAGTGCGGCGTCTTTAAACTCTGCCTCTGTCCCTCTGGGTTGGCCCTCTGAGCCCTCTGGCTGCACTTAACCCTTGTAGCTGCAAATCAGCCCTCCCGTCATAAAGATTACCAATAATACTTGCTGCCCATACCAAACTTCCTCTGCATGATATTGATCTTTGCTCATTACTTGATTAATTTCACTCCGTTTCTTTGACTTCATTTCGAAATATCAGACGATGACTCAACTTCCAGGTAAAGCAAGGCCAGCTTGCTTTCAAAAGTCCCGATTTGTTCCATGGAACAGCTTCACAATTTACGCCACTGCGACTGGGCGGGCTTGATCTTGGCCCAGGTCATGCGATGATCGCATCGTCGCCTCTCCTCCACCGATGGCATTCTCCTCCAGACATAATCCTACCTCTTCCGCCACAGCCGACTTGGGCCGATTTTGCTTCGCCGACAGCGCGTGAGGGCTTTCTGTTGCCTTGGTTCTCACCTCTGATCCGTCAACAGAGGATCTCCTCTGCAGTCTCTCATGAAGGCCAAAGCGGGTATGAACGCTCGGCACGATTGCGGACTTGATTGCTTCGGCCTCTCCCGATTCGACAAGAGACCGAAGTGCTGCGACTGCGTGGCCGGGATCTACCACTTCGTCGTCCCCCTTCTCAAATGAGAACCTCTTTCTGAGTGGCAGCCGCTCCTCCTGGCTTTGTTTCTGCCGATGCGATTCCTCACCGCGTGATGGTTGGAGGGCCAACTTGCATGGCCCCGTACCTGCATTCGATCGCATTCTGGGCTTTTCGGTGCGTTTATGCAGAGCTCGGGTGTAGTCCGCATACGGCGACTCAACCTTGGGCGCGGCAACTCTTTTTGCGGTCTGCTTAGGCTTCCCCTCCTCCTCCGCCTTCTTCTCCTCGTCGTTTCCCATAGACTCGTACCCAGAATCATCGGTCTCGTTTCGAGGAAGTCGGACAGCATCGTCCTCGAGGGAGGCAATAGCCCTCTGCAGGTCCTGGTTCACCAGCCCGTCGCAGAAGCGATTCTTGAACTGCAGCGCCATGATCTCGAGGTCGAGCTTCACGGCGTGCCGGCCTTCGGCGTCGGAGATTTCACCGAGTGAGGCTAGCACGGAGGAGATGGACTGCAAGAGCGGGTCCACTGCCTGGGTGACGACGCGGTTACACCTTTTCCTGCCGGGTGTGTGCTTTTCGGAAGCGCCTGTGGCTGCGATAGTCGTCTTGGGGCTGGTGGGACCGCGAGGCTGCTCTTCCATCATCAAGAACATCCTGGCCTCGTGTACACTGATGTCCATTTGGGCCGGGAAGAGGCTCTCATGTTGCGCGTCGCGTGCCTTGACTCCACTCGGCCTTGCACGCATAGCAGTGTCCCAGTATTCTTTGACCTCGATGTCGGTGCGGCAAAGATATGGGTCGAAGAGCATCGGCGGCTCGAGGTGTTCGACACCATCGGCGGATAGTTCCACGATGGGTTGCGGTTCTGTGGCCTCCGGGGCTGTGTTGTCTTCCTCTTCTCTTTCTTCATGTTCCTGTACGTGCTCCAGCTGTGGACGAGGACGCCTGAGCCCTTGCACATCAGCATAAGGGACACCATTCTTGAACGCAAAGTTTCCCTCTTCGGCATCATCTTTGGGCAATGCCGCTGTGGGCTTTGTCGCCCCGTCGCTGGAGTCATCATCACTGACTGCATTCATCTCCTGGGTGTTGGTATCACAACGCCCAATGCTTTCTGGTGACCAGTACTGGCGCCGGTACGTGGGATCCTTCACATCATCGGCGTTCTCGGGCGTCATGCGCTCCATGTACAGCAGCTTGAACTCTTTTGGCTTTCCCAGGCCTGTCAGTGCGCTGTCCGAGGAAACACCGTCGTGAGATGCCTTTCGCAGCAGTTTTCTGGGCTTCCTAAGCCCAAGCATCGCGTTGACCCAGCGATGTTTTGGGGCAGGTCTGGTTGGCGCCAAGGCCGAAACATCAGCACTCTCCTCTGGTGGCGGTGTTGAGACATTTGCAGCTCGAGGCTGTCGTGGCTGGGCTCTTGTCCCACCCAACATGCGGGAGAGTCGCCGCCTCACTGGTGACTTTGGCTCCGGTGACGTTGTCGGGGAAGCTTCATCGTCGGCGTCCCCGGTGGTGCTTGTCTCAGAGCTGGACGCTGGACAACTGTCCACTGTCGATGCAGGTTCCGGCAAATAAACTATCTTGCTTGTATCGGCTTCATATCTTAGCTGCTGCGTGAACTTGACCTTCAGCGGTGACGCGCCGTTGAGGGTGTGGTTCCTCCTGAGCGGTGGCGCAGACTCCGGCACGGGATAATCATTAGGTCCTGATCCATCCAGCTCGTGCAGGCCTGGCGTGGCTCTTGGTTGAGGAACAGAGAAGTCGGGGAGATTATCGCCGAGGACGGTGGATAGCAAGCTGGGATGAGCAATGATGTACTCTACCTCGTTCTTGGGGTGCTTGTAGTCGAAACAGGCCGGTATCTGTGACTGGTAGACCTCGGCGTGCATCCAGTCGCCCTTCATCTCGTATATCATGACGAGCAGGCCCTGTGTCTGAGCGTAGTCCTCGGCGTGGATCTTCTCCCTCTTCAGCAGCTTCTTCTTGGCGAGCAGTGCCTCCCGGCAGACAGTCAGGGCTCTGTCGAAACGGTAGAGCGACAGGTGGACCAGAGCCATGGAGTGAAGCAAGTTGCAGACGACAGCATCCACGGCTGCCTTATTCTTCGCCAATCCGGTGATTATAGGCTCGGCCATCTCCCAACGCCGCTGGAGGAGGTAGCACAGCGCGAGCTGCACCTGGAGGTCGCAGAAGCCCTCATTGTCAGACTTGCTGCCGACCTCGCGCTTCATAGCCTCCTGTAGGAACTCTATTGCCTTGTCAAAATCACGCTCCTTGATGCGGTCTTTGGCAAGCTCCTCGAGGCCGTCGAGAAACAGTCGCTCAAACTCGGCGTCTTCATCTTCGTCGTCCTCGACAGTGACTGCAGCAACTGATCCCGGTACCGTGACGGTCTCGACCGCCCCGGAAAAGGATAGCGACCTGGGGCTTAGTGTGGCTGCCGGGCGGCGGGGAGAACGCGACCCTCTCCGCGCCCGAGTGATATGCTCTCCCGACGGCGAGAAGCTTGGGCTTGCCAACCCCGACGATAGCGATCTGCGATGGCGGCGCCCCTCGCGGACGTATTCCTCGACGCGCTCCCTCCTGAAAGAGGGCAGATCGCCCATCAGGCTCACGTCAATGTCTGCTCCCGGGTAAGCCTGCCACGGCGCCCCGCCGCGGGAGCCGTCGCGGATGGTACTTGCCGTGGAGCTCGCGGCGCCGTGGAAGTGCCTTGCTGCCTGGGCCAGATTTCTGAGATTCCGGGCCACGCGCGCGTCTGAGTGGTCGGCGGGCCGGTGGGTGAAGCCCCCTACGGGACGGATGGATGCTCGCAGGGCCTCCTCTATGGACGACTTGAGGCGGTCTAGCTCAAACAGGATGGCTTCCTGCGAGGCATGATTCCTCAGCGACAGGGAGACGTTGATGGTCTGGAGCATAGTCTGGAGCGCCCAGTTCGACTTGTGCACTTTGTCCCTAAAGGCCGCTAGGTCGCTGCCGTACACGTTTAGGTTCACCACGGCCTTTACCCGCCACGCCCATGGCTTCACTCGCACCGTCTCCTTGATCTTCTGCACCAGGACCCCGAGTGAGTTCAAGGTGACGTGGCAGTCGTCTAGGGCGAGCTCGCACTGCTTCCATAGGTCGTCTTCAACAAGAGCCAGGTCAAGCGCGTTACGCCCCTTGAGCGTGCGGTCTATGGCCTCGAGGCCTGAAGTCAGGCTTTCTAGCTCTTCGCATAGGCTCGTGATGCGGGTCTCGGCTCCGCGGCACTGGGTGATAAAGCCGCACAGTGAGCTTGTGATCTGGTACTTGGTCAGCAATCATGCCTAGTGACGATATAGGACTACAAAATGCAGAACTGAGTATGCCTAGGCTTTTGTTTATGGGTGGTAAGATGTTCATTGCCCCGGGAAGACTTACGGAGCCGGCTGCCTGGATTAGGGTGATCGCAGAAGTGGTGATTGATAGCGGATCCATGTCGGAAATCCGCCCGTTTTAAGGACGCCCAGCTTCGAGTTCACGGGGCACAACAATAACACTGAGCTTGATCAATTGAGGCTTAAAATTTTGACGACGATTCACGGCAATCTTGGACGAGATCTTGGGATATCAGATCGGATTCGAAACGAAACAATCGAGTTGCAGTCGATGTCAGCTAGCTGGCGACTGCGAAAGCCTGATTGTCCCTGGCCCTCGCTGCGCATTCCCGCGCCGACAGGATTGCAGGCGCAGGCATTCTTCGTTGTTACATTGGGGCTTAGCAGACGCACACCGAGAAACTCGCTGGGCTCATTGCTGGGCTTATCGCTCCGTTACTGGGGCTAAGGCGCTCACAGCTGAACATCCTAACAGATCTGGGAGGGCGTGCCTGCATTAGTCGCTGTAAGTGCTGACTCCCCTACGATGCATGATTGGGGGGCTGAGCAGGAGTGGCTTGAACCACTCCTCGTCATTGGATTCACCCACGACGAATGAGCGGACCGGGTGGCAGATGTAGAAAAAAGTGAACAAAGCAATTCAGGAGGGAACCGGCCATTGAGACAAATACATGGCTGCGCCTGCTCCAGATTGGCTATTGATGATTCGTTTCTTCTCAAAATTGATAGTAAGGGTCATTTCTCCCATTTGCGCTTAGGTAAGTGGGTCATGTGTTTATAAGGTGAACATAAAAGATTTGGAGAGACTTCCGCCAGAAAGATGACAAGCGAGCTTAAATGGCAGGTTGCGTAACGCAATGTTTCATCGCCGGCAGCTCGCCGTCCCCTTCGCGCCTCAGCCAAGGCGGAAGACGTTGCTTGCGGGCAGCTCCGGGCCTCCGACCCAAGTGCGTCGGGTCGCCCCCAATGACATCGTTTCTGCCGTCCATATATCAGACCAAACCCGCTGTGCCCACTGGCAGTCAGTGAACAAGCTGGGGACGGGTAGAGGCGTGCTGATAGGCCGTAGCAATGACGGGATCGCTCTCGGCTGATACAGGTCATGTTTCTTGCGACGGTAGCGCGATCCCCTGCTGGTGTGCATGACGGGATGAAGGCTGCCGATCTCTTGGCGACACCTGGATGGTGCACTCAATAAAAAGAGGTGCCTCCGTCGCCACTCACTTACGCGAGTGCGTGTCTCGGTTTGTGAACAACAGAAGCAACAAAATACATCTAGGTCACGATGATGATCACATCCTTCAGACTCGTCGCTCTAGCCCTCGCGGTATGCCCTGGCCTGGCTATTCCGCCTCCAGAGTTTGGATTTGTGGATAGCGGCAACCACACCGAACTCAGCGTGGCTTTCACCTTCGATGGGAACACGACTGTGGTTCAAGAGGGCCAACTCTTTGGAGGAAACAGTAAGATCGACGGCCGCGACGGAATCTGCCATGAACTGATTCCACTAACGCGCTTCCACAGTCACTAGCCAACAGCCGGCGCTGGCCGTAAATCCGGCTGCATACCAGTCCGTCGCGGACTACAATGGCAACTATGTCATCCTCATGGTGGACCCAGACGCGCCCTCGCCAGATAACCCCACCAGTCGCTTCATCCTGCACTGGCTGGCCGCAAACGTGACCCAAGGCACCGAGGCGCAGGCGCCTCTAACCGGCCAACGCGCCCTCACGAACAACACACCAGCCCTGGTCCCCTACCGCCCGCCCATGCCCCCCACCAACTCCAGCGCGCACCGCTACATCATCTACGCCTTCGCGCAGCCCGACAACTTCGCCATCCCGCAGTCGTTCAGCGGCTTCAGCGACCAGAACCGCTCCATGTTCAGCCTCGACCGCTTCATCTCCGAGGCCCGGCTCGACCGCCCCGCGGCCGGCGAGTTCTGGTACGTGAGCCGCGAGCCGGAGGTCCCGGGGACCTTTGTCGCGCTCGCTGGGGGCGCGTACCCCGGTGGCAACGGCGCTGCCGTCTTCTCGTCGGGCTCGGCTAGCACGACGGCCACGGCGACTTCGTCTGCGGATGGTACCTCGAGCACGGGGGGCACAGACAGTACGGGGACGTCAGATGCGAACATGGTCGCAGTGGCTTCGTTCTCGGGTCTCCTAACTTGGGTCGTCGGTGCTGGAGGGCTTCTGGGCTTGGCTTTGCTTCTTTGATATGCTTGAGAAGTGCGACTTGTGGACCTGGGGCAAAGAGCTTTCGATCGATTCGGCTGTTGTGTCAACGTATCAGCGGGTCACAGCCTCGCTCTAATGGTTACAAATAAGCATAAATGCCTGCTTCCAGAAAGGCTTTCCGTCCCGGGCATAGTTGAGGTACTCGGCTATGATATGAGATCGGTTTGTCGAGGCGGCAATCCTGGTCGGAGCCGAGAGAGGGTAGGAAACCTCCCGCGGGTCAAGCCAACTAATGGACCTTAAGATGCTGCTTTGGAAGTACTTTCGTCTTGTATCATTTTCAATTGGATAATATCTTGTTACTTGCCTTTAGGAAAACCTTTCCACTTGCCTGGAGACTGTACATTCGACACTTCGGACTGTTGATGTATCCTCGTTCCGGTCAACCGAGGGAGCTCCATTCTCGCCTTATTCAAGCTGCGTCAAGACCTATGGAACGAAGCCTTCACAGCACGCTTTTTACAATGTGAACCATTTTCCCTGAATGTACAATGCTGAATCTGAATGTTTTGTGAAGTAGTTCTATGGTTTGGAGAACACCTGGCGCGCAGTTATAAACCTATTCCGCGCACACTTCTAAGCACGTCAGGTGATTATGGCTGACTGGGGACCTTGAGGGAATCAAGAGAATCCTTAGCGTCTGTGATAGGAAGTTTGTAGCCACGTAGTCGACATACAACAGTGATTACATTGGCGAACCCCCAAGATGTAGTTCAAGCAGCCACAATGGACGCCGCGAGAAAATATCTAGACGCTTCGAGTTTTCATGTATCTCTCTCACTTAGGAAAGACCAAACGTACAAATCCCTAGGCCTACCACGAACAGTCATTACTCAGCCATATAGTCTGTCCTCGCTACACTCGCATGCTTTGCGCTCCACCAGCTTCACTGACCTGCAGTGTGTCACATTTGCCGAGCCGTCCTGATTTCTTGTCGTTGTCGCCACCAATCTCCCAGTCTTGTTCAAGATAAGGTCGTATGTTCCTCCAATGTTCCCCTCCCAGCTGTAGTCCGTCTCCCCCTTCAGAGTTGCTCTGCACACACTGCCCTCGAACTTCACATGCTTGTGTATATCCATTTCCGAATTTCTCATCCCGTAGGTTTCCCCTATGAACGTGCACCTGGCCGACGTGGCAAGCACGCTCAGGAGACCACCTTCTGAGTGGGCTGCTATTGTGTCCGGGAAGTGTCGGTTCTCAGCTATGCTTGTAGTTGCTGGCAACCAGGACTGGTTTTTTCCTTCATTGCCGACCCCAAGTGCCATGCACTCAGCCCCTATGTGGCCTCCCTCCAACAGTAATTTCAAGCACTTGTCCAGAGACCAGTTCTTCGGCATCATCGGCACCTTGCTATTCACCAGCGCAGCCACGCCGTTCACCATGTCTCCGGGAAATTGGCATTTTCTCTTCATAGCCCGCCCAATTAGCATGGCCAATGGCATCTTCACCCCTCTCGTGTCTGCAGAGACACCACATTCATCACATCTCTCACGGATTCTTCCAAATTCACCCAATGAGTCCACCACTGCGTCCTGGCCGACTGCCCGCACCCTGTATGCTTAATCGCAGTACATCCTTCGCAAAGAAGCTGATATGGACGATGCCGCCCCCAATTCCAATACATCCCATCCTTTCGCTTCACCTCTAAAGAACACCTGGGCGTCCCCAGCTAACATAGCCTCCTGCATCGTCCACACTCTTGTGTGCCATTGGCTATGCTCCCATGCGGCAACTGCTGGTGCCCACCTCTCAATCTCTTCCTTTGCATGAATAGCCTCCGGGGATGGCCTTGACATACACCCACCGCCATGCTCTCCCACGAGCACAACCACCTGTCTTGCTCGCTCATATATTGCGTCCATTTTCGACACCCAAAATCGCACATCATCTGCACCCGATTGTCTGATGGACCACCGATCGCACCAGATCCGCCGTGAAGGAAGGGCACCGTGGCACAGCATCAACTGTTCTGTCAACTGTCCATCGTGCCACTGCTGCCACACGTATGACAAGCATACGTAATCTCCCCCACTATACATCTCCATCCTGCCAGTGTCCATGTTCATCACTATAACTCCAACGCTAGCTCGTTCCTGCCTGTTGCAACACGTCTGCTCGGGGCTGCTGTTGAGGGCCTCTTCGAGCTTCAGTATCTCTGAGTTACTATTGTCTAGCAAGCTGCCCATGACAAGAGCTTTGGTATGCTTGTTGGGTATGCAGTCGGAAACTTGAACGCCGGCGACGTCTGCCAACATCCTGTCCACTGCTTCCCTCTGAATCCCAGGCCTAGAGCACAGCCAGTTCGTCAAACCTGTGAGCATATCTGTAGCCAGAGAGCAGGTGATGAAGCAATTAAGCAAACGATAGTTGATTGTGGTTGTTGAGGAGAGAAATCTCCCCGCTATTAAACGCTTAGAAGGAGCCTATTTATAGGTTAGCGCTAAGGTATGGGCATATAACCCTCGTACCTTTTAATACACCCTTTATCGCAAATATCATTATTTTAATAATAATAAGAAATATTTTATTTTAATAGCTAAAAATATAATTTAAATGTTTTGTTATAATTTATATTAAGACTATTATATAAACATTATTTAATGTTTATATATTTTATTTGCATTATTTTTAATTAATTATTTAAATGCCTTTTTAATAATATAAATCTTATACTTATCTTAGTTTTAATTTTATATAAGCCTTTTTAAGAGCAAGGTAAGGCAATGTTTTTATATAAATATTAATAAGATTATTTTTAAATATAATATAATAAATATTATATATTTTTTTAATTATTTTATAAATAAAGTAATAATAAATAGTGATATATTTTAATTAAGTATTAACTTTATAATTTTAAATAAAGTTTAATGTTAGCTAATTATTAATATATAAAATAGGTAAATATTTAATATGCTTAATATTTAAATCTTTTAATGCTTAAATTATTTAATAAAGATATAATAATATTAATAAATATGCTATATATTTTGCTTTATAAGTAAATTTTGCAATAATAGATTGGCGCTTTAATAATTAAGCGATTAGGCTGCCGTTAAGAAATTGCATATATTTATTAAATGCTTTTAAATTATTTAAATTGGTATTATAAGAAGCGTTAATATGTATATTAAATTAAGTATGGTAAATTAAAATAACAATATTTATTTTAAAAATTACAGGGTATAATTTAATATATGCTAAATATATTAAAGCACTTCCTTTATAATATTTAAATAATAAATTATAGGCTTTATATTAAATATTAAGAGCATTATATATGAAAATATAAAATTAAGTTTTGTTTTAATAATAAGAAAATTAATAAATTTAATAAGTAATTAATATATTATTATATTTATTGTAATATTATTAGGTTCCTTTTATTATAAAAATAAATTTAAATTTATAAGAGCTTATTTTTAATTATAATTAAATATATTAAAGCGTTTTAAAATTTATTAAGTATATTTCTTTTAAGAAATATAAATCTTATTGTTAGTTTATATAATTTTTAAGCTAAGTAGGTATTTATAAAGGTTAAAATCTTTATACTTAAAATATTATATAAGCTTATTATAAAATTTATTAATTTAAGAAGGACTTTTAATAATAAGAATATTATTAATATAAATAATAATGATAATTTAGTTTTTAATGAAAATATAAGGATTAAATATTGTTTTTATTAAATATTTAATTAATTCTTTTTTAAGAGTATTAAATTATTTATGGCTTAATTATTTAAGTTTATATAAGGTATTAAGAAGTTTTAAAATAATTTATTAATTATTAAATAATATTTAATATTTTTATAATAATTATATATAAACATTATATTTTAAATAATTATATAAGTATATTATTTTAATATTAAATTGCTAAAGCTATTAGCTTATTATAATGATAATAATAATAATTAATCTTAAATTATTATAACGTATTATAAAGTTATAAGTATTATTATAATTTATATTATGAATTTATATATATTTATAAGTAATGAGTTAAGCTTTATAATAAATAAGCTTATTAAAAGCATTAAACTTCTTTATATATACTTAGTAAGAATTAATAATATATTAATTTATAATAATAAGTATTTTAACTTATATATTTATATTTAAAAGTAATTTAAGTTTCCTTTTAATAACTTATTATTAAGCATTCTTTTTATTACTTTTTATAGCTTATATATATATATTAAGGATATTATTAATATTTATTATATTAATAAGTAATGCTTAAGTAAAGATTTAATTAAGGTAATTAGTATTAATTAATGCTAATTAAGTAAGATTTAATATAAAGTTTATATTAATTAATATTAAGTTATTAAAATTTTTAAAATATTTTATAATAATATTTATATTTTTTTTGCTTTTTATAAAGGCTAAATTTATTATTTTTATAAATTATATAATTATATAGATTTTGCCGGTTTAAGTAATTTATTAATGGATTTTATAAGTTTAAGTAATTTATTTATAGGTTTATTTATAGATTTTGCATTATTAATAAGTTTTATTAATTAAGATATTAATAATACCTTTATTTTAAGTAATATATTTTTATTTAGCTAATTAATTATTTATGCAATCTTTATTATTAAATTAAATTAAGTAATATAGCTTAATATTATAATTATAATAACTTTTTAAAGTAATATAAATAAATAAAAAATAATTTTATTTTTAATTTTAAATTTTATAAAGTATGCCTTTTTAGCTTTATTTAATAATTTTATTCTTAATTTATAAGCTTTAATAAGGATATAAAGGTATATAAGGTAAAAGTATAATTAAAAATATTTAATATTAAGCTTTTATTTATAAAGCGCTTTAAATAGCGTTATTTAATATAATAAGGTTAAGTATGATTTTTAATTTTATAAATATATTATATAAGAAATTACTTTAAGTTATAGGAATAAATAATTTTTATTATAAATTATTATATAAGCATTGATAATAATAATATATATAAACTTTTTAAGTATGCTGTTTAATTTATAATAATAAGGGGGTGATTTCTTATAAATAATTCCATGCCTTTAAAATATTATAATAATTATCTTATTTATATATTTATCCTTATTATTTAAATTAAATGTCTTAACTTTTATATGAAATTAAGTTTTAATTATATTTAAAAATTTCTTAATAATATTTAAGATATTATTTTTTTAAGTAATAAAGTAAACTTAATAAAATTAAGTATAATTATTAATAAATAAAATAAAGTATTAAGAATTTTTTAATAATTTTATTAAGAATTTGCTTAATAAATTGAATTAAATATATTTAAATAGCTATATAAATTATTATTTTAATAATAATTATAGGCGTTTTTTAATAAACTTTATAAGTTAGCATGGTTTATAATGAAAATTTATTAATTTATTTAGCATAATATCTTTATCTTTATATAAGCATTAAGTAATTAATTTTAATAAATTATTATAGCTAAAAGCTTTATGGAATTTATTATATATTATAAATATTATAAAGTTATTTTTTATTATTTAAATTTTAAAATTTTTATATTAAAACTTTATTTATAATATTTTATAAAATTTATTATTTTTTAATAATAAAAAGATATTTTTTTTATGCATTTAATTAAAACCTTTTTTAAATTATAGTTTAATTAAATAAATAAGTATTTTTTAATGCATAATTATATAAAACATTAATAAAGATGCTTTTAATAATTAATTTATTTAATAGTTATAAAAAGATTTTTATAAAGTTAATGCCTTTTATAATAAATTAATTATTACTTATAATAATAATTATACTTAAATATAATTATAAAGAGTTAAAGTCTTTTATATATTTTATTATATGCTTTAAAGTATTAAAATTAAAAATTTATAATATTAAAGTATTTATAATTATTAATAGCTTTACTATATATATTAAAATATTAATATATAATATTATTATATTTGTTTTATTATTATTAAAAATTTTAATAACTTTTTTATTTATAGCTTAGTTTATAATAGCTTATTTCTTATTCTTTTTTTATTTTTAATTAACTTTGTATTTAATAAGCTTTATATAATTAATATATAAATAGCTAATAAATATAAAATTTTATGCATAGCATTAAGTGCATTCTTTATTACTTAATGTAAAGTTAGTACTTATTAATATAGATTTTATAGCCTTTTTTATATCCTTTAATGCTAACCTTTTTTAAATAAAAGTAAAGTAGGCTTTAAATTATTTAATCTTTATATAAAAAATGATATTTATTATTTTAAGTTTAATTTTAAAAAATATTATAAGGTTTTAGCTACTTAAATTATTAATAATATTATTTATAATATTTAATAATATTATTAGGAAAAAAGAGCTTTTAACTTTATTATTTTTAAAAAGTAACTTTATTAATTTCTTAATTAATTATTTTAATATTAAAGTTTAAATATAAAGTTTTATTTAAAGGTTTTAAAAGATATTTAAATAACTTTATAAGTTAAAGCTATCTTTATATTATAAGTTTATTAATTAATAAAAAAAGTAAATAATTAAGTTATTAATATTATAGTTAAATTAATTAGCTAATATTTTTTAAGTATTAAAAGATTTTTTATATAATATAATAAATATTATAAGGCTTAAATATATTAAGCTTAAAAGTATAATAAAGGCTTAATTATTAAGCTTTTTTAATTTTATAAAAGCTATATCTTTATTTAATTATTCCTTAATATTTATAATATATTTGCTAAGGTTGGTAAATTAAAAGCTATAATTTTATATTGCCTTTTAATTTAGAAAGTTTTCCCTTTTTAAGTTTAATTTTAAAAAAAATAATAAATTAAGCTTAAAGTTAAGTATATTTAATATTTTTTAAATAATATTTATATATCTTTAAGTATATTTTAAATAATATTTACATATTTATTTATTTATAATAATTAGCATTAATTAATATGAATAAATAAATAAAAAAGAGTAAGTAGTTAAAATATTAAATAGGGTAAGAGTATTAAATTATTATAAGTTATTATTAACTATGGTAATTATTATAGGGTATAATGATAATATATAAGTAGAGGCTAATAATGTTAAAATCTTAATGATTTAGGTATAAAAATAATTATAAAAATAAGGGTATTAATATTTCCTAATATTTTAAGATATTTTAAGTAATGCTAGGCTTATAACTTAATAAAGTAATTAAGTAAATAATAATTAATTATAATTATTAAGGAGAGAAATCTCCCCGCTATTAAATGCTTAAAAGGAGCCTATTTGTAGGCTAGCGCTAGCGTATGGGCATACGACCCTCGCACCTTCCAACAGCAGGTTCCGACAGTCGTGGCTTCAAAATAATGTAGAAGGTAAATGAGGGATGTAATACTCTCCTGGTTGCACGGCTTGAATGTGACCACCACTCCTCTCGCTCCCACGAATTGCCTTGCCGTGGGCGAGTGCACAAGCAGTTTCAGAAACGTGATTCCTTGCCCATTGCGGGCACACTCTGCCGCGACTTGCAGGAGCACACTGGCATCACAATTGGCGGTATCCCATTTCATCACGCCTTCCTCAGGCGGTTCGCCTAGACTCGAACTGTAGATTTGTCTCATCCGTCTGGCCCGGCCTCTGCCGCTGATAAGCCGGCGCCATGCCACTGTGTTGCTGTCCGCACTGCGGTGCTTCGGCCGCGGCACCGTAGCCCCGTTATGTCCATTTGTGCACACGAAAATCTTTGCCACCAACATGTAGTTCTCAGCTGGACCCGGCAGCAGCGATTGTGCATCAAGTCTCGGCTCCTCGATTTCCAATGTGTTTGTCCCACTTGCAGCCATGGTTGCCTGATTGGTGCCAATGCCCCTGTCAAACCTGACTGACTCTTTACTGTCCGTGATGTGCTTCCTGCTCAGCATCGGAGGTACGAATATTGGATTAGACCATTGGACGTTCGTCGTGTGCTTGTTGTCTTGTGTTGTGGGGCAACCTCTTCCAGCGTTCGCCCTATGTTGGGTTCTCTCTCTTTCTCGCCTGCGACCATTAGAATCTTAACGGCTCCACCTCCGGCCGCTGTCTGTGGAAAACGAAGTGCAGCCCCCCCCCCTGTCGCTTTGGTTAGCTGTCCCCCCCCGCACCAAAATTTAGCTATAAACGCGGAATACGTACCAAAATTCTTAACAACCCCTTTATTAATATTAATCATATACTTAATTTAATAAAAAAAGGTTATTATAATAAATAGCTACCGCTTAATAAATATAAAGTTATAAATATTATAATTTTATTTATAATTAAACTTATTATTATTAAATAAATAGCTATAAGCTAAATTTTAATATAATTAAGCAATAATTTAATAATATTAAAAAAGAATTATAATTATAAATATTATAATGCTAAGCATATCCTTATTATTATTATTAAATATTATTAAATTAAAGTAATAAGCTTTAAAGGTATATAATATTTTTTAATATAATAAGCCCTTTAAGCATTATTAATGCTTAACCATTATTATATAAAAGCTTAAAGATTTTCTCCTTAATAAGCTAAATATATACCTTAATAAAATATAATACTTTCTTATTAAAATATATTAAATTAATATTATTATATTAATTATTATAAAAGCCCTTAAAATATATAATTAAATTAATAAATAAATATATATATTAGCTTAACAATATAATAAAAACCTTTAAAGCTATTATCTTTTTAAAATCTTTAAGCTATAATATATTATTAAGATATTTATCTTTTATAATAAATTAAGATTTAATAAACATAATAATATAAAAAAATAAGCTAAGTATTATTAAAATATACTTCTTAAATTAAGAATCTTTTTAAGCAAGGCGCTTACTTTTATTTATTATTAATAATTATAATTAGCAATCTTTTTAATATTATAATATATAAGGAGTATATAATAAAGAAGTTCTTTTTAATATAGCTTTTTAAAAAGGTTTTCCCTTAAATAAATACCTATTTAAGCCCTTAATTAATCCTTATAATAAATAATACCTTATAGCATTATAATTATATTATTTATATAATTATTAAAACAAGAAATATTTAATTAATATATTTATTGCTATACTTTCTTAATTTTAACTTAATTAAGGTATATTTTAAGAATTTAAAAAAGTATATTTAATATTAATATTAATATAAAATAAATAATTATAATAATAATAAGAAATTTATAAATTTTTAATATTTAAGTACTTTAAAGATTAGCTAGCATATAAAAGTAATTAAAAGATATTTTTATTATATATATATATTAAAGAAGAAATTTAAGGGTAATAATAATAATAAAGGATAATAAAAATATTATATAATTAAAAAAAGGGTAAAAAAAGTAATATTAATAAAAAGGAAAGAGTATTATAATAAGGTTATTTATAATAAGTTTTTTAATAATAAGGAAGTTAATAAAAAAAAGTGTTATTAAAGTAATTAAAAAAGGATAGCTAATAATTTATTATAAGAAATATACTTAATTTTCTTAATTAACTTTTTAAATACTTAAATAAATACTCTTTTTTTATATATAATTACTTTATTAACTTTTTTATTAATTATATTACTCTTTTTCTTATAAATAATGTTAATTAAATGCTTAAAATTTATTAAAAAACGCCTTAAATTTACTTTTTAATGTTAATATATTATTAATTAATATTAAAGGGCTTTTTATTTATTAAAAATTATAATTCTTATTCTATATTAGCGTTAATAACGATAGCAAGCTTTCCTTCTTTTTATTACTTTTAAAAAGCTTAAAGAAATCCTTCCTTTTCTTTAAATATAGCTTTATAAGCCTTTTAATTAATTTAACATTATTTAAGCCCTTTTTATTAAATTAAATATCCTTCTTTTAATATAAAACTTAAAGATTAATACCTTTATGCTTTATAACCTTTTATAACTTTATTAATTATCTTTTCTTTATTAATATATAAAAAGGCTTTTATAAAGCCTTAAATATAAAGTCTTTGCTAAGAACCTTTTAATTATTAAGTACTTATAATAATAATAATAAAAGCATAAGCAATTAATAATAATATATAAGATTGCTTAAAATATTATTAATGCTAATAATGTTAATAGCTTTTTAAAGCCTTTTAATAAGTATATTAATAAAGGCATTAATAATATTAACGGCGGCATTATTAAATACCTATACTTAAAGCTATAATAATATAAATAATACATAATACATAATATATAATACATAATACATAATACATAATACATAATACAAATATAAATATAAATATATAGATTTTTAATAATATAAATATAAATATAAATATATAAATTTCTAATAATATAAATATAAATATAAATACATTAATATAAATATAAATACATAATACAGTATTATAATATAAATAATATAAATATATAATATATAATATACTTTAAAATAAAAAAAGCTTAATAATTTAATAAAAAGTTAATAAATAAATTTATTAAAATTTAAATATTACTTTTATAATATTAAAATATTTTATTTATTATAATTATTAATATATATATAAATTATTTATAATATTAATATTTAAATATAATAAGTTTATAACTTTATATAACGTGGTTTACTAATAAGTGGGCAGTATTAGTGAGTGGGTACTTTTTATAATATCTGCCAACTTTTATTAATGCTAGCACTTACTTAATACATTTAATTTATTAAAAATTAATATTAATTAATGCTAATTATATTTAATTCCCTAATTTTAATTAATTTTATTAATTTAAAAAGGTTGGCATAAATGCAATATAATTAAAAGTTATTAAGGTTTATATAAGTTAACTTTTTTTTAATGCTAATTATATCTTAGTTTTTTACATTAATCTTATTTTAATCTACCTATTTAAATATTTAATGCGCTAAAAATTAATAATTATAATATATATCCTTTATTTAAAGAAGATAAAATCCTTTTAGCTATTTAAGCTATTTATAACTTTAAAAAAGCTAATTAAAAACCCTTAAAAATAATAACAGCTATATTGTAATGGGCTTAGGTTATTGCCTAAGCCTTATATAGTGTGGCTAGATAATCCAAGGGAGCTTGGATTATTATATACCTTTTGGCTTAGTTAAAAGGTTGCTGCTTTTGCAGCTTATGGGAGAAGGCGCTAGTTAGCTTGCAGCCCCTCTAGGGCTAGCTCATAACATATATATATCTTTAATATCCCTTAAACAACCCTTTAATGCAAAATAAATTAACAATGCTTTTGCAAAAAATTACGCATTAATATATATAAACTTAACTAAATTAAAAAGCAAATATTTATTTAATATATTATTAAGCAAAATGCTAAAGGATTTCTCTTATAACTCTTTAATATAAAAAATATAGCCAACCTTTTATTAACATTATATAATATTAAACTTATTAATAAGCATTAAGCTTAATATTTTATAAATATATAATTAAGCCTTAAAACTAAGTTTAATTATCCTTATAATTATTAAAGGGCCCTTTGCAAAGATTTAAAGATTATTAAGAATTAATTTAAACTTTTTTGCAATATAATAGCTAAATACTAAATTATTAATAATAACTTTTATAACTTTAATAAAACCAACTTTATAATAAGTATAATTACCTTATTAATAATTATTATATATATTAATAAGCATAAAAAAACTAAATTAATTTAGCTTAATAATTAAAAATAAATAATTATTATTAAATGCATTAATATAAGTAAATTATAAATTTTATTATTTATAATTATTTAAGGTGCTTATTACCTTATTAATTAAGCAATAAAATTAGGTTTTTTAAATAACTAAGTTATTAAGCTTATTCTTAATAAATAAATAAATAATAAAATTAATTTAAAATAAATTTAATACTTTAATAAGTATATTAAGTTAAAAAGAAATGCTAATTATTAAATATTAATTATAAATAATTATAAAAGCTATATATTAATTAAATTTAATTAATATTATAAGAATAATAAAATTATTATTATTAATATACTGCTATATTTATTTTACTTACTTTAGCCATTAAATATTATATTATATTTACTTTTAAAGCATGCATATAGCAATGAAATTAACTTCTTTATTCAAGCCTTTATTAATCACATTACTAAATTTAAGTTCTTTCTTATATTTAAGGCAGCCTATAATAAAACTTTTATAGCAAAAAACATTAAATTTATATTTAAAGAAGCTAAAATTTCTCCTTAAAACCTTAATTTTATAATTTTTAAGCTTAATATCTACCTATAAATTTTAATATAATCCCTCTTTATTTCTCTTTAAAAATAAAAATCTTAAATACCATTAAATGCTTAATAAATTATTTAATAATTAAGTTTTATTAAAAATAAAATCTTTGCTTATTAAAAAAGCTCCTTTATATTAATTATAAAGGCTATTAATTAATTAGCAAAGAGTGCATAAGTAATAACGCACTTACTTATTATAATAAGCAAGTAAATCCATATGCTTTAAGATGTTAATATAATACTTATTAAATGCCAAAGAATTAAAAGAACCTAAGTATAACTTAAAAAAGCACTTATAATTAAGGAATCTTAAGCTTTTATTTAAGAAAAATAAAAGGGAAAGCGGCTAGCTAATAAAATAAGTAATAATACTAAAGAAGCAATCCACAGCAAACTAATTAAAAAACGCTATGGCAACTATAGTAAGACTAAATATAATACAAGAACTTATAAGAAAAATAAAGAAGGGTTTAATTAATTAAATTCCAATTATATTATAATAAATCTAGCTTAATTAATATTAATTAATGTAAATATATTTATTTTAGCGGTTTATAGTAAACCGCGTTTT